TGGCTGCCAAGTCTGGCGGCATTAATCGATAACACGTGACGGATGTGACGTTTAAAGGTGAACGACTGTCAATGCGGTTGAAGGCACAGATAAGGCCGCCGTAGTACAACCTACAACCAGCAGAAAAGGGGAGGCCAGAGGACCTCCACGTCACACAAATTGACTTTTTAAGTAGGCAACAATGTGTTGTAGGGCAACTTAAGAAATTCCACATACACACGCATTCATACATACATACTATATAGGAATATATGCATATGTAGCAATAATGATGGGCACAATAAAACAATGGGCGTTCCGTAGGCTTGTCGCTTCCCCCATGACTCCCTTTAGGACTAAATCCCCAATTGCAAAAGACGCTCGACATCTCTGCTCCAGATTGTCTACTCTTGGGTTGTTCGGTCGGTGTTTGTCGCTTGCCTGTCATCAGGAAATGACGGCATTACGGCATTACTGTAAATGCCTTTCTGTGCTCGAGGATTTCAGTTGACGTGGGACTGCTGGTTGATTGGAGACGTGAGATGGAAAAAGGCCCCTAACACATTTTTTCATAAATTTCTGTATTTTATGTGAATTTTTTCTTTGGGTAACATTTGCTAGTTACAGTGTACACGTTTCGTTATATTCTTTAACATTTATTCATTGTATTTAAAGGCTTTAGTCAAACAAGACGTCTGCTATTTCTAACAAATTGATTCAAAGTCAACTCTGTGCTCGTTTACATAAAATTCTTTAAGTCGGATAGGGTAGTACTAGTATTTAAAATGTGAGAGAAAAGGAAAAACTTTAGGAAGTATTGAAGAGGTGTTGAAGCTGCTTAACTGCTTAACTAAAGAAGAAGTTGCTTAAAGATTATCCTTTTCAACACAGCAACAAACTCGTTTCAATTTTAAAATACTTAGGGCATTCATTTGCCCTAATGAACTAGAATATTATCATTTTAGCGAAGAACAATGTTCAGCGTGTCATAATAAATCAACTGTTTTGTCAAGCTGTCAGTTTGTGACAAAGCCATGCGGAATTAATTCATATAAAATAAATTGGAAAATGACTTGACAGAGCATTTAACTAGATATCATCGAATGCAAAAATAAAAACATAAAAACTAGCCAGTTGACAAATAAAATGGTTGGAGGTGCTTTCAGCTATTCTGTATAATAAATATGGAAAAATGCAACAAAAATATTCTGTTTTAAATTAACTTTTGTTTTTGAACAAACAGTTTAATCTAGTTGTAACTAAAAGCTATGACTAAAGGGTACATACGTACTAAGTTTTACACACATTTACAAACAAAATTTAATGTTGGCTCTTTGTTCGAAGCTCATTTTCGCACCGATAACACAAACATACTGACACTTAAAACGCAATAACTTCACTTCCAATTGGTGAAATGTCATGAAATAAACATCAATGAACATCATCACTGAACAATCGATAAAGATAGCAGATTCTAACGCACCCCAGTCGACATATAGATAGCGCCACCAGGGGGCGCTAGATTCAAAAAGTCCTGTTTACTTTGGAACGCACCTTGTACTTACAAAATTGTACAGACCATAAACTATTAGAGGAAGTCCTGTTTTTAGATGAATGACAAAAAAATCATGAGACCCTAAACAATTCTTCTGGCAATAATTATTGAATTTCGATCAATTTATTCATTGTGATTTATTCATTTGTTAGGTGTGAAGGATTTATCGATTTTAACTTACTAAAATGCAGATTTGTTTTTACCCAACAATTTAGTCTTAAATTGTTCTCTAAATTGGCAAATTGACATTCGTTTACTCAGAATGGAAATCGCAATAGCGTATAAAAATACAAGTTAGTCTGTCACATCAAATGTGGAGCTCCGCTCATAATTTCAACATCTGCAAGTGCATAATTCACTTTCATTTCGAATTCTGACAAATATGACACAAAAATCCCTATCGTGCGCTTCATATTGTGTAGTCGTCGTCTTTGGGGAACATGACAAACCCACAATATCCAATTAAGTATTCATTTAGTTTTGTCAACTTCAGCTACATGTATGAAAATTCATTGGTTGTGTAACGCTCATCGACAACAGCATGAAGACAGAACGGCACGCATACATGGAAGTGAATCCTTGCCCTTAAAAGTAAGCTGGAAAATTACATTTTCATGTCACATACACGCATTCACACAAACAACATAGTATGTATGAGTATACTGTGTGTATTTACAAAAGTGTGGCGTCGCTGCTACGAGTTTTGATCTCATAGCTGTTGCTCCTACTGTTGGCCATCAACAATAAAACATTCATATTTAGGGGCTTCGTCAAATCGTGCTTGCCAAATTCCATTCCATTTCCGGGCGCTCACAATACCAGTTGTGCATGGTGGATCCAGCTGGTGGTGCAACTTTGGTGGCCTGCACTTGAACTAGAGCTTGTAAACCACAAAACAGCAACTGCCTGTCAAATCCATTGCTACCCACAAACTAGCTCAGCTGCTCGGCTCGTAGAACGCAAAAATTCATTGACATCTGAGCCGAGACAGCTTATAAATAAAACATGTAGCATCAGCGCTTATATGTTTTTATGGCTCTGGCGTCTGACCCTCTAGATCGACGGCCTTTGTCATTCTCGCCTGTGGAGGTTCAAGCACCTTCCCAAACACACATTTGACTTTTATGCGTTCAGGCAAATCTTGACAAAGTTTGTTTGTTATTTCGATGCGCGACGCATGGCTTTTATCAACTCGAAAGGACAATAAAGACAAAGCTATTTGGCGGTAGGGAGGGAAAGGGGTTTGCGTGAAAACAATCTCTTCGATTGCTGCTGGCACAATTTCCAATGAAACGCTAGCATTTTTGTGCCAGTAGAGAAGCAAAGAAGTAAGCGACAGCTAGCTAGTAAAGTAAAGGATTTAGTCTCTTTTCATATTGGCCCTCAACTTTCTATTCTAAATTTTCTCCTTTTCTTCTTTCTTCATTGTTTTTGTTTTTTGTGCTTTCGAGTGCCGTTCTCACTTATCTCCACAGCGATGGGTTCCACTTTTTAGTTCTTTCCTCTGCGGCATCTCATTGTTGTCTGCTGCAAGCGCACAGACACAAAAGCAAATGAACTTTTTCTTTCAATTTCGAGAATTGTCGTTGGGCAGCCATTGGCAAATACACTTAAGCCTTAAATTAAACAAGAGTTCCATAAAATGGCACAAATACACGCACACTCACACACACACACACACACACACACACACACACACACACTTGGTGGATACGGAGGAGTCGGGATATTAGTTAATGCTTGAAATGTTTCCTGGCAACTGGCTACGAATTTCATGCCAGCTGCGCACAAATGCGCAACAATAACAATTAAAATTGAAAAGTGCACCAGCAATTTATGCCGACAGATAACACCACTTATGTATATGCAGTTTGCTGCAACAATTGTTGTTGTTATTGGTGTGGTTGCATGTGATGTTGCTGTTGTTGCCATTGTTGCCTTGGCCTCGCACACGCCCTTGTTCCGTATCTAGTCGAAAGACAAAACCCATAATTATCCAATTGAACAATAAACAGATGCCCGCCAAGGGTGCGACGGTTGAGACAAAGTCAATAGACGACGCAAAGGACAGAAGGCCAAGAGTTTGTCTTCCTCCCCATCTGCCTGAATGCTTGCCTGCTGTCCAGTTGACAGGCAGGCACTGGCACAGTGGTACACTCTAATATAAAATATTTCAATGTATACATATTTCAAGTATACTTTTAATATTTACACCAATAAATACAGTATGTACCTGCAGGCTTGATTTGTGGACGTACAAATATAAAATATATAAATGAATTTTATTGATTAAATTAATTTTTATAATACGTTGCAATTATGCACTTTCCTCCTGTGCAGTAATCGTTCTATGGGTTGTTGAAATGTATTAAGACTTTTAAGTAATATAATTACATAGGTACAGCTTAATCTTTTGAACTCATCAACTAAGAAGATTTTTAAGTGTAATTCAAATTGGAACGATTTTATAATACGAAGCCTCAGTCTGACAAACCTATTAACGCAAAATGCAAACTTAAATATGAATTGAACGGAAATCAATATAGAAACCCTCAGCTTATTCACAGGAATCCGGAATAATTAAGGAATGTGATTCCCAGCCAGTTCGTGAGTAGCCTTAAAAATGAACAATAATTTAAGGATTTACTTCCTCGCCAATTGCATCAAATAATTGTATTATTTCCCACCTGATTAGCTACACAACATTGTAGAAAATAGAAACACAAGTACATTTTTTTTAATTATGTTATATCAGACGGATTGACAGATTGTAGAGGGTATACACAATAATGTCGCATAATCGATCAAATCCATGTCCGATCCCATTGAATTGAAAAGCTCTTTCTTAGAGAAACATTATACGATATATACAAGTAATTTCCTATAGGGTATTTACATAAAAATCAACCCCGTATAATACTCAAATACCTATGAGTTCATGTCCAGCAACGAAATGCTTTCTCATACTCGACCACTGTGCCTGTTTGTTTTTGTTCTGCTGCTACAAGTATTGCGTTTGGGTGCAAGTGTGTGTGGGTATTTAGGGTGGCTGGCGCTTTGGTGCTGCTGTGTGACAAGTGCAACTGACCTGACAGCAAGGAGAGACGAGAAATGATCATCCTGGCAATGGTTGGTCACTCATTCAGATGCAGATGATGGGGTTGTGGCTGGCGTTGCTGCAGTGTGGCCAAGTCAAGTGGAATAATGTGCCAAAAACGTTTAGCCTGCAACGTTGCAGGGACACACACAGAGGATACAATTGTGGCCCCACAAAGAGACTGGCAAAAGCATTTCGTTTCTCTTGAGAGGCCACTGACTCTGGCGCTATTGTTTATGTTATTCCTGTTGTTGTGCACTTCTTCTGCACGTTGCGTTTTAATGCCATTTTAATGAATATTTATTGAGTTTCCTTGTTTGCGCTCCACTCTTTACTAATTATATTCGACTTTGTTTATTCTGTTTGCAGGTGACAAGCGTGAAAAATGCTCAACCAGCTGCTAGCTGCAACCGCAGACATTTTGTGGCTGGGCTAATACAGCAGCAAAAATAAGAACAACAATAAAGATCGCTAGGATAATCAACGAACAGGTTGGACTCTGAAGGCAGAAGCAGGAAGGGGACGTGAACCTTTTATACTTGAAATGCATTTTTAAAAGCACACATCACACAATAACAATAAAGGATAAAAATAACACAAAATAAATAAGCAAACCAGTAAATTAAATTTATATATACATAAACCATAAATCACATAAATACACTGGAACGTAGAGCAGGGCGCAGCCCCTTCAACGCCCTCCATGCAACTTTTTATGCAAGCTTAAGGCAAATTTTTGTTTGCAAACAAAGCCAAACTTGACTGATAGCTTAAAAACCAATAATAGAGATTAGCGTAAGCCAAAACCAATTTACAAAGAACAAAAACAACAAAAGCCAAGAACAGTTCGATTCTTTGAATTATTTCGAGTAAATATTGAAACGAAACATGCCAAATACAATTTGCGACAGACGCCATCTGTAACCTGACGCAGCAGCTACGCGTTAGGCAATCTTCAACAGAGGTCAAAGGTCATCATAAATCGCCCGCCCGCCCGCACACCACAAAACTCTACACACTCATCAAATTAGCCAGCTCGCAATACCTAGGACATTTACTAGCGCCATGGGCAACAAATGCTGCAGCAAACGTCAGGATCAGGAGTTAACGCTCGCATATCCCACAGGCGGATACAAAAAGTCCGATTACACCTTCGGCCAGGCGCACATCAATAGCAGTGGCGTCGGCACCGCACTGGGCCAGAAACACAACAATGGAGGCTCTTTGGACTCACGCTACACACCCGATCCAAATCGCGGACCCCTGAAGATAGGCGCTAAGGGCGGCGTTGACATCATCAGGCCGCGCACCACGCCAAGTAAGTAACGGAGCCCACATATGCACAATTACCTCCTGCATAAAACCTACATAGGGTAGGGGGTACACGGAGTTAGGGCTAATATCATGCATTTGAAATTAGTTTTGTGTGCTAGGAGACTAGAAACGACCTGGCAACAGCATTTAATTAGCAAATTTTACTATTTACTATCCAATGCCCAACCTGCTATTTTCCCTTCTCCGCCTGGACTCAACATTTCACTGTTTGTCGTCTAACTATTTGTGTATTCATAGTATATGCTGTTAGCGATAACCTTTATGGGGCAACTGCCATTAAAAGTTAACCTTGACTAGTTGGTGTTGACTATGGTTACGTTTTGTACCTTCTGGCTGAATCCAGAAAAAGCAGGGTTCGCGCCGTAGGGCTCTTGACAATGCTAGGCCCCCACTGTATATATATTCTACTTTTAATGCTGTTTAGGTCTATTAATTTCGAAGGGTCACAATACGAAAAGGTTGTCTACTTTATTGCACTCTTTCATTAAAACGATATCCCAAGCAAACTAGTCATATTTGGAATCATAAAGACATACCTTCGTAGAGAATATCAAATTGAACAGGAAAAACTACTTTACTTATTAGTTAACATTTTCGAGTTGAATTAAGAGCTCAATAAAGGCTTCAATTAAATGATTTTGTGTGATTCATACTTATATTATTGGATATATTCCAATACTTTAAAAAATTTTTAAATTTTTGTCACAAAAGATGCAAAATTAGAATAGGACCGAGTGAAAAAATTTATATATCAATCGGGTAAATCAGAATCGTCGAATAGTTGTGTCAAGTCTCTTCTGTTTGTTTCTTCTTATGCCCATTACCTTTGCGTGTCACGAAGGGGGGCATTACTAAATACGAACCAAGAACCACAACGAGGTGCACATAATAAGCAACCGATTAGCTTTTTGGCATCTGTCATTGCACTGTCCAGATTGAAGGCATAAATCGGCTTTGGGCTTGTAAACCCGACAAATGCGTTGAGTGTTTTTTATTTTTGTCTTCTGTGATTTGTGCGCTGCACAGCCGAGTCAGCACCAAGAGTATTTGGTGTCCTCCATTAGAAGACCGGACAAGGCTTCTGGCCCATGTAAATGCCTGCGCGACAGGCCAACTTTTGGCCTCGTCGTCGTAGGCCGCTAAATCAATTAGCGAAATGCACACCAGTGCCAAAACGGAATGTGGCTTGGCTTGCTTGGCTAACTGACTTACTCGCTCTCTACAACCAAAAACATGAAATTGCTTTATTTATCGTTGAAAAATTACAAGAGTTGCGCCAAAACTCCTGCCAGCCAATCCAAATTGGAGAGCGGTTAGGGCCTGTCGGGCAGCCAACTCATTAAATTCTAATTATGTTTCAACGCAAAGGCGGTGGGGATTGTAGAAAAATTTGCCAATTTGTTGCCATAAATTGCAATTTAGGAGACGCTTCGAAGTATGCAACGTGTAAATCAAATTTGCAACCAGACGAAAATTGCCATCAACTCACAAGCAATATTTTTATCCCGCTCTCCATCTCGCATCTCCATCTGCAGCTGGCGTGCCAGGTGTCCTGCCTAAGCGGCGTGTCGTCGTCGCCCTCTATGATTACAAATCGCGCGATGAGTCTGACTTGAGCTTCATGAAGGGCGACCGCATGGAGGTCATTGATGATACTGAATCCGACTGGTGGCGTGTTGTCAATCTGAGTACACGTCAGGAGGGCTTGATACCGTTGAACTTTGTGGCCGAGGAACGCAGCGTGAACAGTGAAGAGTGAGTTAATGGGGTTTTCAATTTTTTCTTCTTCTAATATTTAATGACACTTTCATTCCGATAGCTGGTTCTTTGAGAACGTGCTACGAAAGGAGGCGGACAAACTGTTGCTGGCGGAGGAGAACCCACGCGGAACGTTTCTGGTGAGACCCTCGGAACACAACCCAAATGGCTACTCGTTGTCGGTCAAGGACTGGGAGGATGGTCGCGGCTACCATGTGAAACACTATCGCATTAAACCGCTGGACAATGGCGGCTACTATATAGCCACCAATCAGACATTTCCCTCGCTCCAAGCACTCGTCATGGCATACAGCAGTGAGTTAACTTAGCATTACAATTATATTCCAAACAAAGCTTAACCGTTGAAATTTCTTGCAGAAAACGCTCTTGGCCTGTGCCACATTCTTTCCAGACCCTGCCCCAAGCCACAACCCCAAATGTGGGACCTAGGGCCGGAACTGCGTGATAAGTACGAGATACCACGCTCCGAAATACAGCTACTGCGCAAGCTCGGTCGCGGCAACTTTGGCGAAGTCTTCTATGGCAAGTGGCGCAATAGCATTGATGTCGCCGTCAAAACGCTGCGGGAGGGCACCATGTCGACGGCCGCGTTCCTGCAAGAGGCGGCCATTATGAAGAAGTTCCGCCACAACCGCCTGGTGGCACTTTACGCAGTTTGCTCGCAGGTACTATATACTTGTATATATATATAACTCTTCAGAGACTCCAAGTGAAATTACAAAAGAGTTTAGAATTCTCAAGTTCCTCAAAAATAAAATATAAAAACTTATATTTCGTGCACTGATTTCAATGCAACTGCACAAAAACAATATAGAGAGATTGACAGAAAGAGTTATCTTGAGACTATGTGAGAAATTCCATTATAATCTGAACACAAAACCCGAAAATGATTCTGCGCAGCGTAGTTAGTTGTGTATCTAGAAAAGATGAAGAAGAAATTCCAAGATGACACCAAAGAGTATGATGGCAAAAGGCATGTGATCGCAAATGTGAATTCATTGGTTTCTTCCCTGAATAGTCCGATGAAGCAATTATAAAGCTGTATCAACTTTAATCAAACAAATTACTTGCCAAAAATTAAGTAGGTTTAATCACATCTGACGTAAGTAATCAGACGGAAGAAATGTTTGGATCTGAAAAGACATCAATTGTTCCTAGTACGGCAGGGATATTATGATAGTTTAAAAAAAACTGGATACCTTTGCGTGAAAAACTGTTGGCAGGTACATAGACTCCCTAAGCGCATTTAAGGTGTTTTTAATACTTATTGTTTTCTGAATCACAATATAGGTCTATTAACCGACATTATGACTAATCTGTATAAACTTTTTGCAGGAGGAGCCCATCTACATTGTTCAGGAGTATATGTCCAAAGGTAGCCTTCTCGACTTCTTGCGCGAAGGTGACGGCCGTTACTTGCACTTTGAGGATCTCATTTATATTGCCACGCAAGTGGCTTCCGGCATGGAATATCTAGAGTCCAAGCAGCTAATACACCGCGATTTGGCAGCCCGCAATGTGCTCATCGGTGAAAACAACGTGGCCAAGATTTGTGATTTCGGTTTGGCGCGCGTCATTGCCGACGACGAGTACTGTCCCAAGCAGGGCTCACGCTTCCCCGTCAAGTGGACTGCACCGGAGGCCATCATATATGGCAAGTTCTCCATCAAATCGGACGTCTGGTCGTATGGTATACTGCTGATGGAGCTCTTCACGTACGGACAAGTGCCCTATCCGGGCATGCACAGTCGAGAGGTGATCGAAAACATTGAGCGCGGTTTCCGCATGCCAAAGCCGACAAATCACTTTTTCCCTGACAATATATACCATCTGCTCCTGCAATGTTGGGATGCAGTTCCAGAAAAGCGGCCGACGTTCGAATTCTTGAATCACTACTTCGAGTCGTTTTCCGTAACTTCCGAAGTGCCGTATCGGGAGGTGCAGGACTAAGCCCGCAAATACACTTGCATCACCCGCACATACATAATAAATATATATATATATATATATATAGTACATACGTTATATGTATACACACATTTATATGAATATTCACTATAATTCGTAAGACTTTTTAAACAGGCGAACACCACAACACAATCACAGTAAAAACATAAAGAAATGAAAAGTGAATAACGAAGGTTTGGTGATTGAGATGTGCCGTGCCGATCTATATATAAAGCTATAAGAATGTATGCATACGCGTACAGGAATCAAGCGAAAACGAAATGAAGATAAATATAACAATAGAAATATAGCATTTTATATTTTACATGCAAAACTATTTTATAATTTATATACCTACTTGTATGTACTATAATAAATAGCAAGTATGTATTTAACTAGTTTTTTAAGCTTACTAGAACAGGAAAGAAAAACAAAGAATATCGCAAGACAACTGAGAACTCTATTGAATTTTTATGCGCTAAACTCAAATTCGATTGCAGCTACAACTCCAACTAAAAGCCAAGCAGCTCCAAAACTTATGCAACTTTGATCGGTGCTTGAAGTTAAACAATCCCTCCCTCTCTCTTTCTACTTTCCTTGTCAATGAATGCTGAAAATTAGAACTGTACTTCTTACTAACAACATTAACAGCAATATAAATATGTAAACTAAACCAAGTATTATTTAATTCAATCAAAAATGAGTATACATTTTTGCTAATCAGCTCCAATGAAGGCATTTACTTAGGTGCGTACAATCGCCCCAAAAACGTTTCACAAGTCGGCTTCTTCCAGTCACAAAATGTATTTGGTTTTTTGTTTTTGTTTTGATTTTTCGAAAACTATTACTAAACGATGGAAAGTTAGATGAAATCATTTTGCTGCTCCTGCCAGTAGGTGAGGCTAAAAATCAAATTTATTGTAAAACTTTGTAACCATTTTGTACAAAAATTTTTTAAAATACAATACAAAGTTTATTTCTAGCAATTTAACCAAAATAATACAAATTACAATAATTTTAAGTTTATGCCAAATCATAAGAGTGTTTTGTATAATGTTAAGCACAATCAAATTTGAAATCATTAAACGAAAATTATGTTAAAAACATAACTGGCATAATTTCAAAAAAATATACACTATATGTATCAACATATATCCTTTCCATAAGTCAAATCGATGGCATTTTGATCGAACACGTACGCACGCTTTGTAATTCTGGCCCACTTTCAGTTCCTCCATACCCTCTGCTCCAGATCGCGCAGTAAATTTGTGTGCAGGCTCTCAAGGATACTATACGACCCAATATGAATCAAGAAGAGAACGAGAAACTGCTATTCCACAAGGGTTTCAAATGCAAAATATCAGAAGACATGTTGTAACAAACATTAAAACATATTAACCGTTAGTCTACGTAGGTATATACATAGAACCGCTAAAACAACATCTTCTATGTATCAAAAACAGAAATAAATCACGAGCATGGGATATGCGTTTTATTTAATTTATTTGTTATACTATTAGTCTTTCGTTTAGTTACGAGTATGTTGGCCATTGTGTGCACATTTGTAGCATAAAACCAAAGCTTAGCATTTCTATTGAAGAAACACATACTATACATTGTAATTCTAAAGAACGACATAACATCATCTTATTCACATACCACAGCATTGAAAATATGCAAGATTAAAGCCAGCCTAAGCTAGTGACGAAAAAATCATTGCATGTAATCATTGTACGAAACTGCATTAAACATAAACAGCAACAAATCGATTATGAGAAATCTATTGTTATATTGAAGCGAGATAAAATTGTTTAACGTAGTTGATAAATGAGAATAAAGTTTTGTATATATAAAATTTGGCATTACTATATACTTATTGTATGTATGCAGCACATAATGATGAGGGGCATAATTTGAATTGTTCAACAACCAAGCAACGTCCGAAAGAGGACGCTCGGACATGAGCACTGTCATAAAATAATTATAGACATGACAAACTATGATTAATATTAAATTAAACGAATTAAACTTTCATAATAACGGATGACAACTGAAATTAGCTGATGTAAAATACAAATATTCGGTTAAGTCGGCTAGGAGTACACTGCATAACTGATAGATCAATCAATAAACTGGAAATTGTGTAATAAACATAAACATTTTAAACGAATTGTTTCATTTCCGCCGTCAGATGCCTTAATGTTTTATAATTAGTAGCCTGATTTGCGACAGATTATAGAAACCGCCGTCCTGTTGAAACATTCGATTTATTTAAATACTCCTACTTGTCTTCAGTTAAGTGGTGGTATATCCCAGATGTTAAGTGGTTTGGAACATGTGGTACCTGAAATTGAAATCTTCATCCGATAAATTCCTTAAAATATGTTCGACACGAAACTTAGCCGGAAGGATATAGGACATAATACGCTTGACCATATACATATATGCATGCATCTTCAACACTATATTTTCGTTATCAGCATGGGTCGGCGAACTAGCCTGTCTGTCTGGGTGAGCTCCTGGGTTAGGCATAACCATAAGAAAAGTTAGTAAGTATTAATAGGTATGTAGTAAGGAAATTAAAAGTCAGTTCGACGCCGCAAGCTACAGCTTTGTTCTTCCTCTTCTCTGCGCTTCTGCTATATTATGCCTCGGAATTTTTTCAGGTGCAGTGCCAAGTGCTTGATTAACATTCCTTCTTGTGTTTACCCACGAAAATCATAGTGTGACAGTAATGCCATTTATATAGACACCAATAAATTTTTTTATATAGAGTAAGTGGACGGATTTGATTCAAATTCGAGAATATGTTGTAACATAATATTATAACTATCACTTATCAAATTTCTGTGTGATCGAGTTAGTTGAAATTCAAGGACATTCTAAATTCCTGATTCCATGGAATCAGGCATTTCCGTCATATTGAAAGACGATTTCTACACATTGTATTCATCCGATCATTTATCATATTATAAAAATTCTCATTGTCAAATTGTGGAAACACAAAATATCGAAATATAACTTGAAATGGAATAAAGTCTTAAGACGGTTTGAAGGCAGCGATGAAGCCACTTAATTAGGCTAATTGACAAGGAGTTGTTGTTCCGCAGCGCCAAACTATACACATCCATAATAAGTATCTCTTCAGGGATTTTGGTTGGGATGTTTTAATGTCTAGTTTAAAAAAATGCATTCAGTGGAGGACTGCGAACATCGGTAAGCCAAATTTCTGAGTTCTCCAGAGCTTTTCTGATATAGGAATTACAAGTTGTCTTCAAAATGGCAACAAGTTTCTTATCTAACCTAAATCAATGCAATCCTCATTAAAAAAACATTCAAAAATATGGATCTCTTCAACATTCAAAATATCGATTTTAAAATGTTATTTAATCAGCGATAAAACCAATTTTATATTTAAAATCTGAAATGAAATCCAAGAAATTCAATGATCTGTGTTTTTTTTTTGCTTTTTTGGATACCAAAAAAGTTGTATTTTTATTGTACGTTTCTCTGTGTTAATACATTAATGAAATCGATCCGTTTATAATTTATTTAAAGGCAAAAATGAACTTATCAGCTATATTCTCTTGAACATAATCTTGCGTACACAGGCATGTTTCGAATTCGTCGAAAGTGTATTAAATATTTTCAAAAAGAAGGATCTGCAAATCAACGAAAGTTTCATTCCGATTGGTAGAAAGGAAAAGCTGAACTCGAAATATGCCCAACAATTCGGTATAATTATTTATAATGTGCGCTAAAATGTAAACACCAGTGAGGCTAATGCACTTAACGAACTGACTTTTGCGATTATGGAAAAACTACTACACTTATTGTGATGATAGTACATACTATATACTATATGTAATTGATTTGTAAGTTCTTGAATTTGGTATGTACGTGTATGAGATATAACATGAAGTTTACGTAAAACAGTTCCGATTTGACATTTATTGTTTATTGTATGTACAATAAATTCGTACTTTTTATATTTATTGTATAAACGTTGTAATAGTTAATAATTCCTTGTTGTCTACATCCGACTCCCCGGTAGATTGCTATTAAGGCACCAGTTGAAAGCTACATAATTGCTCAACATGGCCTGGCTTCCTCAAGAATACATGGTTATATGCATGTTATATGGTACATATTTATATGATTTATATTTTGATCGTTTATGAATAAAAACATTGCAAAGGAGCAACATTGGTGTTGTACTTTATAATCAATAGTAATCAATCAACATGCAGAACTAACGGCATTTCACTATATTACATTAAATATCATTTCAATAGAATTTACACCATTTCACCCAAAGGCCCTAATTATGTTTTTAAGCAATAATAATAGAATGAGGAATAATCGTGGAATAATAGAATGGCCGTGGGTAGATGTGTTTAATCTCGCTTCTTCAAAGTTGAATAGATACTTATTATAATACGAGTTATTATCAGATTGCTATTTTAATTATTTGAAACCCTGCATACTGTGAAAATACAAAACCAAACCAACCATTTTTGAATATCTCAAAATGTATTACAATTAAGTAAAAGTAAAGCGAGTATAACATGAAAGTCGCGCGAGTCCGACTCTTGTATACCCTGTACCAGGCCCCTCTCCCACAATCCTCCAACTGACCAACCATTCCTAGGGCAGCTGCAGACAAAATATAGAAATACCTCATTTTCTATACATACTATGCATATTTAATTTTTGTTTTCGATCCCGTGGCAGTTGTACAAAATAGCTTTATGATTCAAAAGCTCGCGATGTTCATGCGGACGGACAGATAAGTAGCTGTGTCTTAATCCGAAATCATTTGTTCACCCCTCCTGTCTGTTAAACACATTGCGACACCTTCCCCATAACCTATCCGAAAGGATACAAGGTATATTTATAGATATATACAAGTGCATATAAGAGTACAAGGAGTAATAAATTTTAATATTTTCAAAACTGGTTGGTTTTAGAATTTTCGTGTGCGTTTCAAATATTTCATTAAGCTATGGCAATTATCAAATTTTATGCTACTGTTCACGCTGAGTATGGCCTGACCTTTATACGCTAAGAATCGAAAGTATTTTAAACGCCACAAATCTCCATTCATTCCAGGAGCATCCTCTAGTTTACTTGAACAAGCACCTACAAAATCGATCCAGGGGAAAAAATTCCATAAAATGCACGTAGGAATTAAATTCAACTAGAGAACACGGCTCGGACGATTTGAACTCTCTAGTCTTTTGATGATACTATTGACTTTTAATTAATGTACTTTTTTATGAAAAAATGCTAGTTAGAGCTACTATATGGGACGAGCAATTGGAGTTGTCGAGTCGGTTAACAATACTGTAGGCTCAGGGGTATTTCGCGTTCGAATTTAAGTAAAGGGGTTTCGTTGGCGTTCCTGTATCGATTCGGCCCTATTTCCTGGCTCGCCCTGATCTCAATGGGGATACCAAATACTAGCCTACATTTTTAGTCGATCTATCCGACTGTGGGACACTTTTAGGTGGAATTACAAGAGAGCTGACATATTTTATGTACGTGTATATGATAATCTATGTGAATCTATGTCTAAGAGCACCCGAACGAGGCAAATATTATACATTATCATTATTTATTCGGTCGGTTACACACAAAGTGCAAAGCGCCAGAATGACGATTTCATTCGCGCTCCTAGCTTCGGGCGAGAGCCAATTCCCATATCTGAGCCATTTACATGGCAGATGTGACTTGTTGGGCTTGTTGGTATTGTTGCTGCTGCATTTGCTGCGGCGGCGGCGTCTGTTGCAGTTGCTGCTGCTGCATCACCGGTTGCTGCTGCATTAGCTGTTGCTGTGGTTGTTGTTGCTGCTGTTGCTGCTGCTGCTGCGCGTTGTTGAGGGCTGCACGCGCCGCTGCCGCATTCTGTTGTGTCGTCGCCTCCGAGGTCTTCAGAAAATATGTAATCAAGTCGATGGGCAACGGGAACACAATGGTTGAGTTCTTCTCCGCGGATATGGTATTGAGTGTCTGGCAAGATACAAAGGGAAAATGCGTTTAAGGAAACGATACCCAAATCCATCAAAGGATTTCACTGCTCACCTGCAAATAGCGCAGTTGCAGCGCTGCTGGCGAATCGCCAATCACCTCGGATGCCTCGCGCAGTGCACGCGACGCCTTTTGCTCGCCTTCGGCGGCAATTACTTTGGCGCGTGCCTCTCGTGCGGCCTCCGCCTCGGCTGCCATGGCGCGTTGCAGTTGCACGGGCAGACGCACGTCCTTGCTGTTAGTTTAAAGTTTCAGGATGAAATGGGATTAGCCATTTATTTTAATCTATCCACTGTATACAAGACTATATACAATCCCTCAAATTCTAGCTTCAATTTAAATTTTCAGTTGAGGAGCCTTTCCACAAACTTCAATTCAAGGAATTATTGCAACTTTTATAGATGCGATGTTGATTCCCAATTAAGAGCGATACAATGTATACACGTTTTGCATTTGGCTTGTATTCACATCAAACTTCGAAACTCGAAATAGAAAGGACATTTACAAGCTAAGATGAAGAAATGTGATATGAATAGGACATCATTTACTCCAAAGTGCTGAAGTCAAGTTGTGGAATTGAAATAAGTGCAGGAGGAGCAAGAATTAAGAGAGCAAAACCTTGCGTCCGCGTTAAGTTAAGATCACATTCCACGAAAAAGAAGCAAGAAGAAGAAGTAACTGCTATTTCGGAACGAGGAACTACGAACAATTTCTTGGTTAGCTGATAAAGGACTAATCCGCAATTTGCTTTCAAACTTGTTTAAAATCATTAATATACATTTTTTATTTAAACTGTTTCGCGCAGGAATTGGGACTGGCCATTAAGTCCATTTGAAGATCATATTTAAGTGACACTTTTTCTAAGCATTTTTATTGCACATTAACGACAAATTATACAGTTCGCCATATCTTTTTACAATTCTTACTTTGCATACATAAAACACAACTTATTCAATAGAAGCCTCCAAATAAAGCGGACACTGATGGCCGAGGCTAATGGCTAATGGCCTGACGATGATGATGGGGCTGACGCATTTTTGTAAGCACACGATTTTCTTGATTTATGATCATGTGTCAGAGTAACAGCTTGAAATATGATTTCATTATTCAAATGTGGCAGTAAGAGGACTTTTAATACAAGTATTTAGTCAATTTGGATTGCAAGTTTTTCCCCAATTCGGCATCTATTTAATGTGAATGTATACATGCATTGAACGACTGCCTTCTATGTGCTGAGAGCGAGAAAAAACAAGCTGTTAAGCATTTTTGTGTTGTCACAATACACGCATTTATCATTTATATTCCAGTAGAACTGTCATAACATGTTGCAATTATCATAGAGACCGCAAAAAGTGCTAAGAGCAGCAGTTGCGACAATAACAACAGCGGCAGCGGCAGCGGCAGCCGCAGCCACAAACTAAACAGCAACTAAACTACAAAAACAACCAACTTGCGTCAAGTTAGTAACTGTAGATGGTGTTGTTATCGTTGTTGTTATTGTTATTGTTGCTCTTGCTGTCACTGTTGCTGCTCCCGGTCGCCGTCATATTGTTGGCCGTGTATTTGACATGCTGTCACACTTTCAGACACTTGCCCCTGTGCGGCTAATAATATGTTATGTGTATGTATGTATGTATATATGTACATGTACAACAAAATCAGAAGCTGTGTGGCACACAATGCCAGTAACAAGTAACGAAAGAAGTAAAACTCACCCACGATGTGGCTCTAACAAAATGGCGACTATAATAGGTCGGCCATACAGCTAAGCACACACCTTTTGACATAGAATTTTTGTTGTGCCAGTATGTGTGAGCTTGTGCTAGTCAGTGTCTGTGAACTGGCGTGTTTGGTTGTGTATATGTATGTGTATTCGTATTTGTATGTGTATTTGTATGTGTGAGTGGAGGTAAAAAGTTTCGCTACTTACATTTCAACACGTTCAACTTTGATGCCCCAGGCATCTGTGGCTTCGTCGAGTTGAACCTGTTTATGAATTTTTTTCCATACATAAAAACGACGATGCGGCGCCCAGGTGTGTTGGGAAAGAAGTATGTGTGTATGTAGTATGTGTATATGAGTGGGTGTGTGTGTGTGTGTAAGAAATAGCAGTAAAAACACATTAGTTTTTGTTCAAACAGTTTTTGTTGTTTGTTGTTGCCAGACGCTTTGATGCATCCTTGAAATAAAAAGTCGAAAAAATGCTTGGCACTGCATCACTGCGCACAAATTTCGTGCACGGCGAGTCCCCGTATTGTTGGGGGCGTGGCGGAGTGGGCGGGAGCAGCATGAGGGGGAGACAACGAAGAAGAATTGCGAGCGACGCAACGAGAACGCAGCCCGAGGCTTTCTACTACATATGTTTGACGTAGGCAGCAGTCGGGCCTGGGCTGATTTTGAACTATTTTTCATATAACACATAGTATATATTGCATAGGAACATAAATACGTGAAATGTTTGTGCATATGGGTATACACATAAGGGAGCCAGCATAAATACTACAGTGGTGTTCACGTACATGGGAACAAACAAGATGTTGCATTAAGAATCTACTTTTTGGCATTATCGTCTAAAACTTTCACTACGAAAACATTCTTAGTGTATTGCTAAAAATATATTAGTCCATCTGTTTAATCTATATAAATGGAATACTGCATTTTTTGATGGTTCAATTATCGTCGCCTGGTCTTCTCTACGCTCTTTTCAAACATTAATGGAAAAGAGTAAAAAATAATAAAGAAAATAAATATATTTTATGTGAAATAACTAGGCTTTATATAGTAATTTCAAATTATAATGATATTACATACTATTGACTAAATTGCACTTAATGCTTATTAAATTTATACAGATACGTGCTAATGAAATTTGTGACGGACTTTTTCAATTTCATTATCGATGTATCAGCTAGCTCGCGAGGTATTATTTTGTTTAGCGACATCCATTGCATTCTCTCCTATTTCCATTTATTCCAATTATTTTCTATTTTCGTGTTGTCCAAGAACAGCACTTTGGATACTCTATGAGGATATCAAAATTAAATTAATTGTATTGAAATTGCCGTTCCCAATCAAGTGAACTCCACTGTAAGCCCATTTGTAAGCTCATACAGCTGGAATATGGTATAAGGTATATGGAATATGGGTTAAGTTGGCAATGCTGTGGCAGCCCCTGCCATTTGGGCCGTGCTGTTAAGTTGCACGCCAAGATATGCTCCCAGTTGGCTTTTCAATTTGCAGCAATGAAAAATCGCTTTTCATGCGTTTGGATGCTCGGCATGGCCCAACGTGCCAAGCAGGGCTGGCTGGGAGAGTGTGGCAGCTGCAACTGTTCGTTGGCTTGCTGGCCAAGTTGTATGTTGCAGCGCCAAATGTGCCATTAATATTTAGCAGCAGTCAAATTTATGCCACATCTACGCGAGCCTAATTTAAACTTTTACACAACTTGTGCAGAGCCCAGCATTATAGTAAGGGGGCTTGGCATAATTATAGACATGCTATACAGCTGAACTGAGCCGAATGGTGCGGGCTGAGCGGCTTAGATGTCAGTTGTCTGTCAGGAAGTAGCTGCTGCTTCGTCGTATCTTTTAGATTTTTTAAAATGAATTACGACGGGTATGGTATCCAGGTTCGTGCCTCAGTGGCTGGTTGGCAAGCAGGCCTGCCCTCTGCTTGCCCTCTGCCCGCCTGGCCACACACAGATCTATCGTCCTCATGATGGGGGAGGCTGACGTTTAGGACTCACCTGCATTGTGCCGGAAATCGTCATACGCTCGCTGAGTATCTCATGCAAATGCCGAGTTCCCATTGTGTTTCGTAGAGTAGTCTGTGCCAGTAGTCTGGTCGAATGGTGAGCATTCTCCACGTTCGCTATAGAGACCGTTGCATTTGATACGCGATAGTAAACCACTGCATCCACCGAAACCGTGACGCTATCCTTTGTCAGAACCTACAATATGCAGTGGTTGGATTTTTGCTCTATTGTTTTTCCTTTTATACACATATATATTTTTATTGTATATATTTCTTATGGCTGTTTTTGTTTAGCGGTTATTTTTATTACGCTTGTTATGCTTGCTAGTTGTGGATACACTAGTTGTGATAGACGACCACATATTATATGCACGAGTTTGTACATATATATTGTTCAGTTTGTATCTACATGCATATGCAAATATTTGAGGTTGTTTCGCTGCAGCTACTTTTGCAGCTGCTGGTGCTGTGCACTTTTTGCTTAGAGATTGCCATAATGCGAATTGCACTTGACTTGAACGTATAGTGTATGGGGTTTGCGTTGCATTTGCTTTGCTTTGCTTTGCTTTGCTTTATTACAATTAAGTGCTAAGTGCAAAGTTTTAAGTTAGACAAAGACGGGCGCAGACGAAGACACACAACAATGTGAGGACAAAGACAATGAAAGATATGGCGACTCAGCACTACAAGTATATAGGCAATGGCAACTGCCAGCCACTTTGTGTCGTCCTCTGTGCGTTGTTGGTCTCATTTTGATTATTGTATCTGTAGTCTAACTATACTATATACAAGTATATATACATACGTAAATGTATGCTTGCGGGTGTGTGTGTCGCGCATTAGACTCTTCCAAGTCGCTGTGCACTGTTTTTGCATATTGCCCCTTGCGAGTGCGTGCGTGTGTGGGCGGAAATAGTTAGAGAGAACTACTAGTTGAAGAACGCAAAGGCGACTGTTTGCACTACTTTGATTTCTGGCCCCAGGCAATTCACTGAGGATGTTCTTTCATTTGCATTGTTATACGCTTTTGAAGCTTGATTTATGTTATACACTTGGGACATTCTCTGGTTGATTCCTGCGACCAACTACGCTATAGCGATACGTGGAGCAAACCCAAAAGTTTTGAAGTTACAGTGTATAAAATACATCGTATTGTACAGATATTGCAGAAATTATATATTGTTCAAAATAAATGCTAAATAGGCGCAAAGTAAAAGGCATTTGTGTTGATAAAGATTGGAGGACAAATTAAAATACGCTTAACTAGGAATGAATTGGTTAAAGTTTATTATATGCAAGATAGAAATGTTATGATAAATTCACTTTAGTTTACAAATGCAGAAAGGTGATTACATATTTGAATATTCTTGGAGTGTGTTCTAGCTTACTTACTTACGTAGAGATGCCAGCACAACAGAAAAAATATTAATTAAATATTTATAAATAAATAATGCCTTCTTTATCATTTGTATTCTTCAACGCAAACGCTTACGTCCTGTTCAGACTATGAAATTTATTTTCGATTATTGTGTAGATTTAAAACTGATTTATCACCAATAACAATGCAAAATTTACTATATATAGACATCGATTCCATTATAATGCATATTCCTGGCTTTATAAGTAGTTATACTTTTCGTCTTAACTTAAATATTAAATATGTGTAATTTCTCAAAAACTATAACAGCAATACATTTGAATACCAATATTTATTGATATTTTTATTTTGCAAATTTTATATGGACCTTACCCCGGCTATTTATATTCATTACTATTATATATTAATTATATGTACTACTCAGCGTGTGTTTCCTTTTAAATCAGAAGCATTTTTTCTTACCAAAAATTGAAGTCGCTTTAGATTTTGTGAAATATAGAAATTACTATACTAGTCATATAAAAGTTGTATTATATTAGAGTTTTCTGTTAGAAAATAAAAGAAAAATATTCACCACAGATCTTACATGTTTCGGATAGCAACTGCTAAAGGACTATTATTTGTATTTCATAAGAATTCATTTCTTAAACAAATTTCTAATAAATGTCTTTAAGGTAGTCGCGCGTTATTGAATAACAATTTTTTTTTGCGTTTACACATTTGGACTAATACTAATAAATAATCCAATCAGTGTATTTGCGCTTAAGTCTCCTGCAAAATGTTTCATTACTGAAAAAAAAACTTTTTCAAAATATTTAACATACTATATTCTGCATTTCGTCCCATTTGCAGTACCGAAAACGATTCTCAAGAACTTTTTCATAGTCTGAACGAGGCATTAGCATCCAACTTTTGCCAACGGTCCACGGGCAATCTAGTATTAGTTGCAACAAAGAACGGAATTGAACTTTTTGTTTTGCCACAGCGGGACATTTACAGACCAGTCTAGACAACTTTTTTCCAAGCGTTTTGCCATTTCACTTGTCTAAGTGTCGGGAAAAATAATTTGGCGCATTAGCATAAACGTAAGCTTAAGTTCTGTCTTGCTGCTCGTACAACGGTGCGTATGCTTGCTTTGTTAGTGTTTAGTTGTGGCTGGGTCGCTAAGGCGTTTAATTGCTTTGAGAGGCACACTCACAATTATGGAGACTAAGCGGCTTTAGAACCCAGGGCTTTATCAGAAAGTGTCTGCTGTCTAGTTGGTCCTCTAATTGAATTTTGGGCGGAAATCGGATGACAACTTGGTTGGGTGTGGGTTAGATAGCTAAGAAGTGTGTGGATGGATGTACTGAGAAATAAATGGGAAGTAGTCAACAGAACGGATTGATGCAAAATTAAAGGGTATACAGAAAATATGTCATTGAAATGAAATCAGATATGTTCATACGTCATAGGCTTTATACACTGTAACAGCTAAACTAATGAGTTTATAAATATTTGTTTATTACAATTTGCACAGCTTGCTTATTTTTTATTTTTTGATTGCCGGTTTTTTTTTTTTCAAATGAAAAATCATATCTTAACTGAAAATACCTTTATTCAGATATATATGCTAGATATATATGTATAGCATATAGTATTTGTTGGTACTACGTTAATGCTTGACATTCCCAATACAGGATTATGAGAGAGCAGAGTGAGAGTGTGTGGGTCAATCTTTCTATCTTGCATTGCATTGCAGGTGGATGCTCTGACTGGCCACTAGGGCTGCGAAATGCGAATTACAAAATGCAAGTACATTCTAATATTTTGATTTGTAGCTAATTGTTAGTTGTAGGTCACTACGTAGTATGGTATGCTGGGATGGTTGCTCTAGCTAACGGTGAACGATTACGAACTAATACACTCCGCATGGCTCTGGCGATTGCTTCATGCGTGCCGGTTCTTTAGAGTAGTTGCTTTCTTGGCTCAGTTTATGGCTCAATGCATTTCTTTTGATCATAAAATATATATTTTTAGATATGTATATATATTTTCTGTACCCATTTTCAACAGCCTAAACCACGCAAAACACACATAGATGAACTCGACATGGGTTGCTTGCTTGATATATATTTTTCTCTTGGCATTCATGCATATAGGCGTGTATGTATATAGGCAGTGTTGTTGTAACACTGGCATACATACTATACAGACGTATATGGTTGATAATTTGCTTTTTGTTCATTGCTTGTTGGGGTGCGTACGTTTAACGTCCTTCGCTTGTGCTCAAACAAATCAAAGGTAACGGTTATTTAGATTGTAGTACATATACGTATATAATGGTTGTTGTATATTCTCTTCTTTTTTGTTTTTGTTTGTTTTTTTTTTTTTGGGGGGGGGGGGGGGTTTTCATGAGGCAGTGGTCCAAACTAAAAACTGTTTGTGGTTGGGTGCGCTTCTATGTATTGTATCTATGTATGTGTATGTACGTGTACGTATTTATGTGTGTGAGTGTGTGTGTGGGCCGCTGCTCTTTTAATCAAAATAAAAGTGAAAACAATGTCTTCTGATGGGTGTGTGTGTGTGTTTGTCATATTAATATTTGTTCCTTGTTCTCATAAATTGGTTTTGTTTTGTTTTCTTTTGTCAATATATCTTAAATTAAACCAACAATATTTTTGTATATAAAGAAATTTGTATTTGTTTTTGAGTTTTTTTTAAGACAGTTAGAAAGCTTTTTAGAATAGACATTTATGGAAATATATATTTAGCATGCTCTCAAAAATTATCGAACGCTTAATCGAAGGAGGGAGTGGGGGTATCAAATAAGTGCAGTGGTTTTTCGTGTGTTGCTTTTTTTATTTAAATATTAATTTTGTTTTTTATTGTTGTTTGAAGGGTTTCGGGCAGAATTGGCAGTTTATATATGAAAAACAATTGGTTTTGCTAAACAAAACTTACATAGTTCCAAAAAAACAAAATCAATTTAAATATTTGTATTATATATAGAGAGAGTGAGTAACACAAACAGAGCGACAGAGACAGAGATAGAGAGACAGAGTTGGAAAGACAGACAGATAGTCCGAAATGTATTGACTGTTTAGGTTTATTTGGAAAGATATAGAACGCGTTAGTTAGAGCGGGCATGTGAGCAAGAAATAGAGATAGATAGACAGAGAGAGAGAGAGTTAGAAAGAGACAGAGTGGGTTATTGAAGAACGCATTGTGTGTGTGCGGGGAGTTTAAAATTTCAATGAGTTTTTGTTTGTTTGCTGCCTTTGTATATTTTGTTATTTCTTTTAAGCTTAATTTCTTGGTTGCATACTTTTAAGCTACTCAAGACCTCAAGACAAGGTACATAGGTAGTATGTATGTATGTAGGTTGGTGTACGCAGGTGAACGTATGTATGCGTATATTGCAATGTCTTTTGTATGGTTCGGGTGTGTGTGTGTGTCTGTGTGTGTGTGTGTGTATTGAGTGCTGCACCCTGTGTTCAGTGAACAAAAATTTCTCTGATAGCCAATTTGCTGTGCTTTCAAATGCGTAAAATTGCTTAAAGCTTTAATGCTTGCCTTTTTTGTGCCCCCAGGACCCAGCCCACCAATTTGTTGCTTCTTAATTTTTGTTTTATACAATGCTCTGCTGAACACAGAGAATTTTCAGTCGATATGAATTTCTTGTTTTCGTTTTTTCTCTTTTTTTATTCTTGCGCTGCTTCGCAACACTAATTGTGAAGACAATCAGAGTTTAACTATGCAAATTGTAATAACTTGAAGTTAGGTAAAGACACCAAAAATCAAAAACGAAAGTAAGAAGGCGTACAGAGAACATAGAGAAATGGCGAACTGAAAAACACACACACATTTAATATGCACTTTAAATGCATTCGGTAGTGAGAAACAAAACATAAGAGCAACAACATCGTCATTTTCATCATCATCATCATCATTTTAAACGAGAACAATATCGAGCATAACTCGGATCGGGGTGTGGTTTTTTGGACGTTGCCGCAGTGGCCTTCATGCGTTTCTTTTTTAGGTTTTTTTTTTGTTTTTTTTTTTTGTTTTACAACACACACAACAAACAGAAATGGGGAAAAATTGAAAAATGGAAATCACAAAACACAAGAAGTAAAAGTGGGGGAAACAATCAAAGGGTGTATGGAAATGAATATGTTGGCGGAAGTCGCGAGGAATATGCAAAAATAAAGAAGAACTACAATGACTAAGCGAAAAGTTTCCTTTTCATGTTTTCGCTCCACGTAACGGCACAGCAAGGAAGTGTGTAGTGATATCGGCGATTGTATGACGACCGCGAGGGCCTCCTCCATTATATAAGTAAAAGAACATATATTTGTTCTTTTCTTAATGCATTTCAATTGAATTTTTATTTAATTTACTCTGCTCTGCGTTTTATTTTTAGTTTATAACGTTCGTAGGTCATTTATATGCACTTTGCCACGCGAAAATGAAATATGTGTACGATTAAATGAAATATTGACCGCACAGACACACACATACACACACACAAAGGGCTGTGATGACTTTTGGCTTTGGGGCGAACTTGTGAATTTTGTAGCTTTGTCTATACGTGTATGTATGTGTGTGAGTGTGCATTAACATTAAATGAGAGGAATATAAAGTTAGGACGCAAATGGTCATCGGCTCTGGATGCGTGCAAAATGCAAAGCACGCTCCAAGGCAGCAACAACATAAAAATTCCAAAGAGGACACAAATGGGACGCGAGCTTGTGTTTGTGTGAGTGAGTGTATGTGTGTGTGGTAGCTGCGGTGGTTATGTGGTTGAGTGCACACCAATGGCAATAATAAAATCTGCAACATTGTACAACTTCAATACAATATCAAGTACCATACATAGTAAAATATAACAACAACAACACACTACCAGTAACAACAACGAGAGAGGAATATTGTGACAATGTGTAACTATTGACTGGCTGTGTGCATGCGTATGCGTGTGTGTGTGCTGTGTGCCTGATTGTTGCTGCGGCAACATCAGGAAGCTGGATTGGTCCATTTACAATTGTTTGATTTCTCTGTTTTTTTAACGGCCGCATGAAACTTTTATTTGTGCACCACTTCATTGGTATCCAATTGAATATATATGCGTTCATATTTAATGGTTTTTTACACCATAACTATTAATTAATTCAAGGACCCACATTAAACGAAGTAGTGCTGTTATACTTTATTGCAGAAATAAAAATCGAGGAGATGGAGATCTTATATTTGTTCTTAATTTGTACTATTCTCTGATTTGCCCATGTTTAGTTGTCTGATCTAGGTGGCAGATCAGGTATCTGGATGAATTTGAAAATGGCCCTCGGCTTCCTTTTGTATAGTGCCGATAGATTTGGAAGGGGGCTAGTCCCTATAAAACGCTGCCTTGTCCTCCTCTTCCACATCTCGACAGCTACTACAGAACGATCAGAACGACTATGATAAAGGCCTTGTTCTGGCGGCATGGGTGCCTACTAGCCAGTGCCTAGTAATGACTCTGATACCAGCTGCTCAGCTGGTTTCTTCTTGCGAATAGGCCACGTTAGAAATGTGACTTTGTGGGAGTCTGTTTCGTTGTTCCACATTTGATTTGCAACAACTTTAAAGTGGTTCCGAACTGATAGTTTACGGCCATTAGTTTACCGACTCTCCCTTTGTCTGGGTGAAGAGAGTTTATGGTACCGTTTCTTGTCAGCTCGTCCGCTTTATAATTTCCCTTAATATCCCTATGGCCTGGAACCCAAATGAGGTAAACTGAGAACTGTGCTGCCATTTCGTGGAGAGTTTTATGACAGTTCGGACATCGAATTCGATGAAATGACGTTTAGGGAGTATATACAAATTCTCTGATGTCTATGCCCGGCGGCTTGGCAGTATAAAGGCAGCTACTTTGATATCTAGGATTGCTGCCTTGAACACACTGTGGTCCGGCAGTCTTTTTTAATGCCAAGTTCTTTGCAGAATACGCCACCATGCCACGTCTGGTATAAATATTTTCCAATTTTATTGAACGAGTAGTCCGACTTACGTTTAACTATCTAATACAGGCCTCTTTTCAAAGAGGGTAAATATTTGAATTTGATTTACTTTTTTGATGTATTAGCAACAATGAGATTAAAAGGGCTATGGGAGTCCTATTGTCATGTTTGTTACTTCTAAAAGTGGTTTTCCATTTCTATAATTAATTTGAATCCCTTGCTTTTTGCTCGGGACTCTTAAACTGGGCTACCATTAATGTTTTGGTGCATAAATGTTTCAAACTCGTTTTTTTTAAGGGCGCCAACCCACACACATATGCATAAAGCCATCTACTGAATGCAAAGAATATAAGCGGAACAGTGAAAAAAAAAACAGAGAAAAGTTGGCCACAAGATTTGGCGGTTGCTGTTGTGATGGATTTCGTGGTGCTATGTATGGGAAGATATTACGCTGGACTAGCGTTTAGTACGAGTAGTAAGGAATAGTATACAGAAAGAGAGAGATAGATAGATAGTCAAAGTGTGTGTGTGTGTGTGTGTTTATGTGGAGCTGCAGGAAGATACACAGTTACGCAAGGAAACACAAGTCCAAAAAGAAAAGAGAAGGGAAAAAAATACAAACAAATATGAAAAGCCACAACGCAAGTTAAGTAAATTCTGTGACATGCTACGCGCACGCAACAACAACAACAACTATAACAACGACAAGAACACAAAAACCGAAAGGGAGCGACGAAAGGAAAATCGTTGCAAATGCGTAATTCACGCTCCAGTTGGATTGCATGTGTATATACTCGTAATATGTGTGCTGGGGATGTCTCTCTCTGTGTGTGTGTGTGTGAGTGTGTATTGATGTATGTTTTGCTGTCAGCAAAATCAACACAACAACTCGCAACAACTTCTGTTACGGCTGCTTTGCCCATACTAGAGCTCTAACGACTCCATTGCTACTACATACAAGTAGATCACAGCTTCGGTTGCTGTTCAATTCAATCAAATATTTATTCTAAAAATGTATATACATACTATGTGGATATCTCCAGCTGGGGAATGTTTATTGTAAAATGACTTTATTTATCCATCTCAGAGGATCAATTTCATATGTTGTTAACTCAACTGATCGGGCAACACAAATATTTGTCTATCCATCTAATTTAAGGTAGTCCAAGAATAGTATTTGGTTTTTCCAAATAATGGCTACTTCAATACAAAAACAAATATAACGAATAATATGATAGGTTCATATTATAGCAGAAATGCTTATAAATCCTAATTTTGCTATTATTTATTCCCTTATTAAAATTTGAAGCACTCTATTGAGGTTTTAGCCTACTCAAATATGATTTTGCACGACGGGGCGTATGCGTAACATTTGGAAATGTTGCATTGTGTGTGTAGCTTTTCTGTGTACGTGTGTTTTGTGCGTGTCGTTGTTATATGTGCGCATGTGTTTGCTGTTGGGCTAACATAGGAACAGAAGTTGTTAACAAAAGAAAAGCGAAGAATAAAGTTGTGGCAAAAGCTAAAAGTTGAATTAGTTTCTGCTTTACTCAGCTTCGGTTAGACAAAAATCGTTTAAATTGTCGTAAATAACTCGTGTGTGGAATGCTTGGTGTGGGGTTAAAAGTAAAATTTGCTTTGTTTACAGTTTATAGTACAACAACACCGAGAGTAGAGTTTTTGTTTTATGTTTCTATTACATACAGAGTGGCCGATGTAGGAGCTTGGTCGGCGTTCCAGCGCGAACGCCGACTCGAACTTACCTCCTGTGGTGGCACATCATAGGTGCGGGTTCGCAAATCCACACGTGCATACGAATCGATGCAGGGCAGAATGAAGAAGATGCCTGTAGAGATGGATTACGGAGTTAGCATACAATATACAAGTACATGCAAATATATCTGTTTATGTCGCTGCAAAAGGACAAACTTTAAATTGCATTAATAACTTTATCCATGAGCCGTTGCTCTGGTGCCCGCGTTGCGCATTAGTTTCACACAAAGTTGGCCCACTCTGAGCCGGCGTGACAAATGTGATGCTAACTGCCGCACTTTCCAAACGAGCCAACGAGCTCGCACACCCACACACACACATGTGGATATACGAGTACATATACGTGTACTATATATAACGAGGGAGGCACATTAGTGGGGGTCGCACACACGCTCGCTAATTCGGAGCAAGTGCAGCAATTAACACAAATGTCTGTCAGCTGGCACACAAATTTGCATACTCTCCACTCACCTGGCCCCTTGGCGCCACCCTGCATCAGGCGTCCCAAACGGAAGATGACAGCGCGCTCGTACTCCTGCACCACCTGCACCACCCCAACCCCAAAGAGACAAAAACAAAGTAGGTGAGATGTGGCCAAAGTGTGTAAAATGGAATTTAGCAAAAAGTAAACACCCTCATCAGGCTAGCCGATGTCGTAAATGCCCTTCAGAGTCCGCACTTTTTGAAAAGTAATAAGAGTTTCTCGAACCAATGAATTTGCTAGATTTTCTTTCAATCTATTTGAGAATTTATTGCTAGCTTTAGGGGGCTGCATAAATCAAGTAAGACAACTTAAGTTGCTTGACTGTGAAATACCCTATAATGTGGGCAAGAGAAACCTCACATTTGTGAATTTTGATCAAACTCCAAATTATTATTGTCTCCAAATTCTGATGCCATAAACCCAGGTAATGTTTAGGTTTGTTTCATTTGTTGCTTTTAATTAAATTACTTAAAGTTTTCAATATAATAAGAAATATCGTTATATGATAAATAAACACTGTAGTTTCAATCCGAGTCTTCCCGACTGGTTCCATGACTGTGTGGACTCTAAGCTTTTCATGCTACTACTAATACTATGTAGTTAGTTAGCATACAATACTCTGTTCTGTAGGGTATGGATATGCAGTTGTATTTGAAATGGGCTTTAACAGTTGCACTTGGCAAATTGCTTTGGACTTAGCCATAAGGCCGTCATGTTGATTTTAACATTGCACTTACCTTGAAGCAAACGAAGAGGCTGAATGGCAACGTCAGTATCACGAGCGCCACCGACAGAAATATAAGCAATTTTCCGCATGTTGATGCCCTATCACTGATTTCTTCATCCGCTGTGAAAAATGTGGCGAATTGTGGCAGGAAAGAGAAGAGAGAAAATAAAGCGCTGAGTGGTAAGTACCCAAGGAATACGAGTAAGTGGAAAAAGTAGAACGCTGTAAATTAGGGACAGCTTAGCGAACGTTGCATCGCTGAGCCCCAAAAACTTGTGAATTAATAAAAAGAAAATGTAAGCAATAATTTAAGCAGTATTTTTAAATGCTTAAATCACAGGCTCGCTGCGACTTAAGCCATCGACCTCTAGGTAGTGGCACAAAATCTGAGAAGAAAAAAATGTTGCCTGCAAGTTTAGCCAAAAATTAAAGTTTCGGGGCTGGCTGCAGGCTGCTGGCTGCTGGCAACAAGTCGCCCATTTTGCCTATTGATACTTGAGACGCTTCTCGACCGGCGCACACAGTCAGAGGTTGCGTCATAAATGTTAAAATTGTTGTACACTTGGGCATATAAAAAAATGTGGCATAAAAATCGTATAGCATACTTTTGTGGGCACAAGTGTTTGCTATAAACGCGGTGTTGTGATTTGATGGCGAAGTACAAAATAAAATGCAGTATAAGCCAAATGCTAGTAGACAAAAACTGTAAGTGTTGTTCGTTTTCATTTGTTGCTGTAATATGTGCCTGTTCTTTGTCTCTGTGTGTGTGTTTGTTTGTTTGTTTGTTTGTTTGTTTGTTTGTTTGTTTGTTTGTTTGTTGTGGCATTATGCCTGCTAAGATTCCAAATTGGTGCGACTTACAATAGAGAAATCCATGTGAATGTTTTGCTTGTGTATCTGGAAGAATACGATAAATCGAATAATAATAGAGTTAATTGGGCTTGGGGCTTTTTTCATTCTTTTTCTTTTTAAAATTTTTTTTGTTTGCCAATATTGTTTTTCGGGAAAAGTGTCGGTTGTTTCCCTTTTGGGCAAGCCGTAATTAATCTATTTTAGAGAAATTGAGGAGGCAGGCAAAAGGGAGATAGTTTCATTGAACTGGGAAACACATGCATTTAGTTTTTCTAACTACACAGGGTTTGTGGAAGAGTCAGATATTCACTTTCCAGATAGTATACATTCTCTTCAATATTTTCACTATATAAGGCTTAACAATACGTGCATAAATCAAAAGTTCTGTTCGTCATTTAAGTCATTTTTATCAGGGACTGTAATCAACATAAGTGTTATTAAGAAAATTACAAAATAATGATTATTTTTTAATTTTATTAATTCGCTTAAAATTTAATGATTTATTTTGAGTTTTACTTTAAAAATTAACCAATAATCATTATTGATGAGCAAAAAAAATAAAACTTATAAAATAATGATTATTCTTTGATTATTCTTTGAGTTTTATTTTTGCCTGTTTCATAAGGATTAAGGACGAAATTTTTATAAATATAGAATAATCATTATTTTATAAGTTTTATTTTTTTGCTCATCAATAATGATTATTGGTTAATTTTTAAAGTAAAACTCAAAATAATCATTAAATTGTGAGCGAATGAATACAAATTAAAATTTATAAATCATGGTGAAAATACATAGATAATCCTTAAAAAAGGATGCCAGTAAATTCCTCGCTTTCCAAAAGTTACTATAAGTGAATGATTTTTTCGTTAAAAAAAAACAAACAAAATAATCATTATTTGCGGTCCCTGATTTTCATAGAGGTGATGCGAGGGATACGGGTACCAATACCAGAGATAGAATTAAAAAGAAAAATCGAAAGAAGTTGTTTAAGGATATGGATGCTACATATCTGTGAAAAGTTAAAATCTGAATTATATGTTTTGCAAAAATATCTTGTATATGTCATCTACCTATCGCAAATTTTGACTTTTGACTTAACCTTTTGCTTCTGCAATACAAAAAGGATTTAAAGAGTTGTCATCTTCTGCACCAAAGCTATAAACGCTCCACCTTGTCCCACACAAACTATTTCTCCATAGTCTTGGACATTAGAGAATGGAGAATTACTATCTTAATGCGGACCACATACCCCTAGGTACCTATTGCAGGTTTTCTACCATTCTTTGTTATGCGTGTCATAAATTAGGACACCAAAAATAATATACCCTTACATACTCGTAGTAATAATATCGTTTTCAATCGAATGCAAAGTAAACTAAGAGTGTATTCCAATTTGTCATAGTAAAATATACGAATATAAACTTTAAGTGTGGAGCTATATAATTATATAAGCAGAGCGACATTTTGAACCTGTCTTGAATTGAATGCATGCATGTTGAGGGGAGGAAATATTTTACAAGAAACAAGCTTTGGAACGTAATATACTTGTAGTTTATGTAATACAAGTAGTTTATGTAAGGTAATTAATTTAATAAACCATGCTGCATGCAAAGCCATTCCTGTTGTGTCATCAAAAGAATATATAATAATTTTACCTGAACTGAAAGCAAAGAACACATAATCACCAAATGCTATTTATAATGGATGAATGAGCTTAAATTCGATTTGCCTATACGAGTACGTCACAGTTTGCACTTTGGCCTGTAAAGCCAGAGACCCTCGTTGCTGGCAATTAGCAAAGCCGTTTCAGTTTCAATTAAAGTTTATTGAAAGTTGCAACAATGGCGCTGATGACGATGACGCCAAAGCGCCCACTCATACGCAGAGTGAGCAAATGGAGCAAATGGATGGAGGGGTGTACAAGTAATAGAGAATTTGTGAAAAACATTTGGTGCTGCAACTTGAAGATGAATTTACAATACCAGCACCACGTTAAGCCAACAAGCTGCCAAACAAATGCGCCAGCTATGGCAAACTTTTATTGAAATTGATTACAGAATAATTGCAATGGCGTTGATGCCATTTGAGTACAAGTGGCTGTGGAAGTGGAAAGAGACGACAAATTTTTGTGGCTTCCGATGTGGCAAGTAAGGAGCGTGGAATTTCGAACGGCAATCCAATTGAAGCCCTAATAGATTTTTGTACAGCTGTTAGTCGTTTCATTAAATTTACATCAACGGAACATTTATGTAGTTTAATTACAGGGAAAAGATAATTCGGGTTTAGTCAATGCATTTGGTTATCTGCTGGGTTTAGTGTTGATTTAAATTTTATGTTAATGCCTGCAATTATTTTTGGCTTAAAACCGCTCACGGTGTGTAATTAAAACAATATTTGACCATCATTTTTTAATGACTGGGCAAAACCCTTGCAGCACTCAGCAATGATCGTCCTCCCCCCCCCCCCCCCCCCCACTGCCAGCCTCCTCACGCATACGTCAGAGCACGGTCCCAGGCAAAAGCTTTCAGATGAAAATGGGTCACACAGCCTCTGCTGCTTGTTGTTGCCGTTGCTGTTGCTGTTGTTGTTGGTGGTGTTGTTGTTGGTGGTGTTGTTGCTGTTGATGGTGTTGCTGTACTATATATGCATGTTGCCAGTTGTAAGGCCTTGATTGAATTTTGCATGCCAAATGCGTTCGCTTACCCATCCTTTCCTTATCATCGCTCTTTTTTTTTTAATTTTCAAGCGCCTAACAATATACGAGTAAGTAGCGTCTAAGCCGGCACATCAAATCCTATTTTCGTAAACCCTTTTGCAAGCTTAATGAAGCGATTAGCTTACATACAGAACGAGTCATCTGAGCTCAAGCCAAGATTTCCAGCTGCTCACAACATTAGATGATTATGTGACGGGATGATGCATATACGTGCCGGATTACTAATGTGTGTATAAAGTGGCAAAAGCACAGACACAATTTATACATAGATACACAACAAAACGCTTGATAGATATGTACACCAGGACGATAAAACGCGATAAATTCTGACCCAATTCTGTATAAGAATTTTAAGCATACGGATATTGCGTCGCATATCCATCTATATTCGAAATCGTTCAGTCAATTCTCTACTAATGTTTAAGTTACTCCTTACTTGAATTTAATGATAAATCTTAAACGGGCTTCAACGAAAATACATATATATTCGAGTATATAGATTTCTCAATGTAGAATTTCGATGGGATTACCAAACCAAAGGTAAGACACGTCGTCGGAATATTGAGATAAAAGAGAAACATATCTTAAAAAGGCCATTTGATTGAAACTGCTGGTGGATGTGAACAACAAGCAATTCGCCATAAAATGTTAATCTGAAAGAGCGGTTTCTTGTAGGAATGGTTGATGATTGAGATTACATTTACATGTGTATGACATGCTTGAGAAATTTATTAAATTTGTGCAAAACTAATATCTCTGTCTAGCCAGAGAGTTCTCTTTGTCATGCGGCCGAACTCATTGCATAAAATTCCTACATCATACTTGTAATGGAAAGTAGAAATGCGGCTCATGCTTGTACGATTTGTTGCTTCTTGTTCGAAATTTAGAATTCTCATGCACAATTTGTGAAGTTCCGCATATCAAGGAAAATAATAAATAATAGTGGGTGAACAAAGTGTTTCTTCGAGTGCAGGCGAGCTGAATTGCATCAATGAATGATGAGCCTGTTGAGCAAACAGAGTAGAACGGAATGGAGAAGCGCAGTAGCATTTTTGATTTGGCAATTCGCTAATGGAATTTGAAATAAAAATGCAATAAAAAGCAAAACACATGTGATTTGGCAGAAATGCGGCATAAAACAGCAGAATTGTGCTTTGCGTTATTTTTATTTGTAGGACGGGCCCGATAAGACCCAACCACCCAATTTTGTATTCGAATGTCTGTCTGTGTGTGCACAGCAACAAGTTTGATATAAACTGAATTAAACATAAATTGTAGCAGAAGCCTAGGCACGAGCAGTGAAACCAACCTCTGGTGAAATCGAGGCCCAAATATATACATACATACACGGTCATATACTACAAGCGCGCACGCACATAGACAAGCAGCTATACATACGGACATACACGAGTAAATACATAATAATACACATACACATACAGCTAACTGTACATTGCATATGGAAAATGCAAGTTGTGGCTGGAATAATCATTCCGATTGCGTTTGTGTTGGCGTTCCCGTCCCCGTTCCCGTTCCCGCCCCATCCCCATCCGCACTCCCCTTTCCGTGCTCACACTCACCTCTTCGCTGCTCGGCTCTATGTATGGCCTGCTGCTGTTGCGACTGCTGCGATAGCGCATGGTGGGCGTGAGGCAAGCCAAGCGATTGCTGTTCCATAACCTGCGATTGCTGTTGCTGCTGCTGCTGAAGTTGCTGTTGCTGCTGCTGCTGCTGATGTTGGTGCTGCTGGAGTTGCTGTTGCTGCTGTTGCTGCTGCTGGTGAAGTTGTTGCTGTTGCTGCTGGTGCTGCTGCTGGAGCGGCGGCTGATGTTGCATCGTTGGCTGTGGTAGGTGATCCCGTTCTCTGTTCTCTGTTGTTGGCGGCGTTGTCACCGCACTGAACGTGCTAGTGCTCGATCCCACGCCAATGCCTATGCCGCTTGGAGCCCCAATGCCTATGCCAGCTGGTGCTCCAATGCCCGTAACTCCCCCATTGACCGTAGTGGAAACGCGCTGCGGCTGCTGGTGGCGATGCAGCTGATGGTCTCGATGCTCCATGTCCATCATCGAATCAGGCATTAACCCGCGCTCGCAGAACGACGCCAGTGTCACAGGTTCTTCTTTTTGCTATGGGCAGATCTGGAGAATCGGTTGGGATTAGACACTCTTTGGGGCTCTCACGTTTTGGCGCCAACGTTGTACGCTGACTGAACTAGCTACTGTTTTTATCGTCGTTATCGTTGTTCCTGTTCCTGTTACTGTTACTGTTTCTTCTGCTTTGTTGTACCCTTATTATCACCAGTAGGTCACTGTCAGTCTTCGATTTGAACACACTACGAGAATATCGCACGGGGCGCGTTGGTCTAGCTTTAGTTTTATGTCAATCATATGCAATGGCATAGTCAATTAATTTTTATTTTTTATTGCTGGTTTGCTCTCCTCTTGATGTTGGAGTTGGATTCCCCAATTCTGTGAGACTGACTGGCTGAGTGACTGAATTAATGTGTGAGACTGACCAGCTCTTCACTTGAGTACTGCTGGACTATGGCAAACACTTTTCTGGGTACAATATTTTTATTTCTTTATTGCCCAACAACCGCGGCAGCAGCAGCACAATCGTCGATTTGTCCTCTTTAACAAGAATCTCTTCTCTTTTCTGCTCCTTCTTAGCTGCTGCTGGTCAACACTCGCACCTACAGATACGCACACACACACACGCATACACACACGAACACACACGAACACACTGGGCTAGATTCCTAGCACTTTTCACTTCCACACACTTTTCTTGTATCCATGCCTCGACGACAACAGCTATCCTGGGTTAGTTGATGGTTGGCTCTTCCGTAAGTTGTTGCTGCTGCTGCTCCGCTCAGAATCCAACTAAAAGTGCGATGGCAGCGCACATCCTTTTTATACAACATTCAGGAGCAGCAGCCAAAGCTCTGCGTGTGACGCCAGAGCGTGCGAATGTGTTCGTTTGTTCGTTTGTTCGTTTGGGTGTGCGTTTGAGTGGGGTAAACTTTGTTATCACCAGCGGCTGCCGAGGAGGCAGCAAACTGAATTTCTCTACGTGCAAATGGCAAATGATCAGGGAGCTTTTGTTGCACCAGTCACCAGTCACCAGTCAGCAGTAACAGTCGCCGCAGCAGCATTCGCAGTTGCATACAGGATACATAGCCCCTTCCAGCCTCTGCGTTCGGGCTTTTCCAGCTTGCACTGACCTTGCGCATTGTGCATGCGGTTGGCTTTTCCTGGTCTGAACTTCAGGAATGCTTGCGAAGCTTTTGTGGCGAAATGGGGCAATGCGAGAGAAAGCTTTGGTGCAGGGGAAATGCTGCGACTGCGAGAGACACGTCAGGTTTTTAGCACACACACAGATACCCTCCTCCGCAACTCTACCGCCCTCATCGCACACACCACACATTCATGCTGCGGTTGTGCTAAAAAGTCGCAGTCGAGCGACGTAGTAGTTTCCGTGGTTGTATTTAGAAGCAGGTGACAAACCTAATTTATGACACCTACAACATGGCCCGGCCCGGCCACTGTTGCTGTTGCTTCTGCTTCTGCTCCTGTATCTGACTTTTATTGTAGTGGCAACAAGCAACCCCATACCCCCAAGACCCCCTCGTCAAGCATGCTGCCTTAGAATTTTGAGCTCGTGTACTTGTGTTTGTGAACTGGCGTGGAATGATATGAGTAGCACATCGACTGTAACCCACACCTCTCTATACTTGTAGTTCTGCCATCTCTATTATGCGCATTTCAATTGCGAAATTTCAAATGAACTTTCTCGAGCGCTTGTCGCACATTCGGGTCAAATGGTGAGGGGAAAGGAGCCTCACCGCCGCCTATTTCTTTAGACATCCATCGCCATCGCTATCGCATCGCATCGCTTTATGTTGTCAATTACCATTTACGCTTCATTAAATGCCACGCGCACTCGCACTCACATTCACATTCCGATTCGCAATCAAATCCATAAAGCCCGGAGTCGACTGCGCTCGTTCTCGTACCCCACTTGAAAAAAAAGGGCCGAGTGCCATGTTAAATGTCGTACCACGGTGCGTATGAGTGTCATTACGTTTGACATTTATGCGCAGCACTTCAACTATATGCTCTCAACATGTCGTCGGTTAATTAATCCCCGGGATTTGATTAATGGGCCATTGGCTTAGGCCCATGGGACGGCTTCACCAAGCCCACAATTGGTCAAATCAATGGGCCCAACAGCAACTAAATGTTTGGCCATATTCGGCATGTGTATTGCCAACCGCTTAATTATCAAACAATCAGTGCGTGTTGGCGCCACAAGAGGCCCATTTGACTGGCCCTTGAAAGGCATTCGAATGTGGTTGATCATGGGGGTTGAATTTATTAAGTATATTTGAATAATTCATGTCAATATTATTGGCATGTGATACATTTTAGTTATTGAATTAAATGCAAATTGGATATATTTTTAGACATCATCATTAGTAATAGTTATAAACTCTAAGTAATTGCATGGAACGCACGTTAAGTTGCGACACTCTTCGATTGATTCAATTGCTATTCTGTCTTATTTATGAAATGAATACATCCTGTACATGAACTATGGATGCGTATATTAGGTTTGGGCATATTGAATAATGCAACAGGTGGAAGGAGGCGTGGCAGACCGGACAAAGTTAATATATTGTTGCTGACAAGATGACTCGATTTAGCCATGACTGTCCGTATGAACACCTAGATCTCAGAGACTGTAAGAGCTGAAGGCACAAAATTTTGCATACAAATGATGCCATATGCCAAACAAGAATCCATCAAGGTCAATTTTTAATAAAAATAAAGCCGTAAATGTAATCTCTGCCCGCAGTTGCGGTTTTTGCTGCTACTTTGCCACATTTCTGCAATACAATGTAAATGAATGCCAGGATTTAGTCCAGATAAATTTTTTTATACTCGTATATACAATTACATACGTGTACATACTTTAAAATGATTGAAATCTAGATAAATAACACCGGCTGCGCAAAAAATAAAGTGGCGTGGAGAGAAATATGTAATTTTTCTAATGGGTGCTGCTCTCAGTTTGAAAATCAATTTATAGTATCAACTCTAGTTAACTTTCTAAATAGAATTCGTATGCTTCTCAGTTGAATACAATTTTTTACAAGCTGAAATGGAATGGGAGCCGTATCTGGGGTCGGGGCAGTTATCAAAAGAACTGCATTTTCTGAACTATTATACCAAAACTATTTTTAACAGACAATGCACAACGTTTTAAAAGTAGTCGCATTAATTCGATAAAATCAGCGAAGTGGTGGCCGGAAAATAAGTTATTTGCCCCGTTTGTCTGTTGCCCAAAATCAACATTAGCACTAAATATAGGGCTAGTCAAGAGTTATAAGTTGAGCATATTAACACAATATCTTCCTAGCAATCTAGCTGATAAATTAACCGTAGCCATAAAATGGATGTCTTTTTTCGTGATTTTTGTACATGCGGCACAAATTCAAATTTGTCTGCAACATTTTTGATCCGTTCCGAATCTAGGGGGGGGGGGGGGGAGGCAGCTGCCCGCTTTGCACCCCGCTCTCTTGTCCTGATAATTTTTGATTTTATTTAATAATATGTATTATTATTTAGGGGGTGAGTACAGTGCCAAACTCATCCATTCCATTCCTGTTTTTACTTATATCTGTTAAAAGATCGAACTCCTATGTAACAAAAGGAATTTTTTCTTTTTGTTTTGTTTCTATAAAACCAAATTTTACTACGAAACCTTAAAAGAATTAGACAACAATTTGAGTACAGGATGATGATTAATTGGTTCTGTCGGTTTTGATTAAAATATTATTACTTGCAAAATAATCATTAGAAACATAAGCCTTCAAACCCAAAATATTATTTTGCACAATATGATTATTATTTTTTAAATAAAGTGAGTTATCATTTGAAGAAGATATATTTTTCAATTTGAGTATTAAAACCTTGTATTACACATTTTATGATTATTTTATTATGTCGCTGCTGGATTCGAGGCATAAAACTAGTAACCGCATGAGGAATGTGGCCCTCCTGGGAGCGACAAATGCGGCATACATTAAAATTTACTGAGCTATGCGTAACGCTAAGAAATAAAATATAAAAAAAAACACGCTCACACTGGCAAAGCGAAAGGAACAGATTTCCTTTATGTACGCATATAAAAAGGCGCAAAGCGCTTGTCTTATCGCAAACATTTCTTTTATAGTCGCACGATGCCAGCCAAGATGCCGAAACCAAAACAAAAGCCACAAATCCATAAACACATTTGGTCGAAAAAAAGGATGCTGGCTGTGAGCGCTCGTCTAAATCGAAACTGTGCGACATGAAACAGCAAAACGAGTGGCAACAAAGTCTAGATCTTACAGCTTGTGTCTAGTAGGGGGCAGCAGAAAAAAAATAACAGAGGCGACAACAACAAAAACACCAAAAAAAAAACACAACAGCATGCTACAACGAGCAAATGATGGCGGCGAATGATGTCACACGGAGCAAGCGGGCGAGCGTTGCAAACAAAATTGATGGAGACTGTTTTACAATGCCAGCACACACCCAGCCGCACTCACACACACACACACACATCTACAATGAACTGTAGAAGCTAAATGTATGCGGACTGACTCGTTTTCAACAGAGAAGTACTCGTCAAAAATTTTAGAACTTTACCCTTAAAGTAATTGGTTCAAGTATTACACTAGAAAATGTTAGAACGTTATTTTTTCACTTTTATTTTATTTCTACCCGGCTCTAAAGCTTTTGGAAAAAGTTAGTGGAACCTAATGGCCATTTGTAAAATAAACCTATAATTTTGGGGTACTCGATAAATCAATTAAAAGCTTCATCCAAAGGATTGTAGGGTATACTAGCTAAGGGCAAATTTATGTAACACATAGATGGCATAAATTATATTAATTAATTAATTATATACATCTATTCTTCATCAAATTACATTTTGAATTACAAAAACCTTTTTGTCTTTAGCATTTGACTCTAGCATTTATATATTCTTGCTGGCAATATAATATTATTACATAATATTTAATGAAAACCAGAATAGGTATTGTTGTTAGCCCTGGATCAATAGTGGTTTTACTTGTACACGCTAGCACAATCTAAAATACAAAATATTTTTCAAAAAGAACATAGTATTATTGTGAAATACATTGTATATTTGTTGAATAAATAAATAAACTTTTAAAACCCTACCAGTTTGTTTTATTTACAAAATGTCATATTATTTAGAATATCTGTACATTGAACTTAGTTGAAGACGTAAAATGGCACTCATAAACAATTAAATGTTGAACGAGCAATAAAGAAAATTATTATCTCTGCAGCTTATAAATTATATTTCGAAATACTTGTACCTAATTCTTCGGCAGATTATTTATATCTACTCTGATTTACATTTTTCGTAACTCCCTTTACAATATTTGTAAAAAATAGCTTGTCCCTAGAATCTGAACCAAGCCAAATTATAGTTGCCCGTGAAATTATATAATGTTTTTCTGAATACTAGCAGAACTGGCTCCAGTAAATTATTCAATGGAAAATTTCGAATTGAAACTATAATTTGAAATTATCCCCAAAACAAAACAAATTTGTTATTTTCTTGTTGGTCCCACAAGGTTTTTACAAATGCAATTCCCTTTTCCATTTGTCAGCATACCTATGCTCACTACTTTGCACAAATAAAATCATAGACTATGAAGCATATGACAAGCGGCTGCTGGGCCAACTACAAATATACTTACATACATACATACATACATAGGCATTATGGCCGCCTTTTGCTTTCCCTTCGGCTGTTCACCAAGCCGGTGGTGGCCGTCGCGATTACGAC